CTAGACAGGAGACAAGTTTCATCTGAGACTAATGAACGTAATTGCTGAATTTCTCATAGTGATATCTGAGGAATCATGGCAAATAGAAGAGGTGCTGTAGTATGGGAGCTGGCAAACGTCCTGATTTTCAAAAGGGGAAAGAAGTAGACACTTCAAAATATAGACTGGTGAGCTTAACATTGATTCCTAAAAATTTTCAGAATAGATTATTATTAAGTGGACTTACTTATGATCCTTTCAAAAGGGAAGAGGTAATCGCTAAGAGCCTGCATAGGTTTATTCAGAACAAGACATGCCATATCAATCTTATTTCCTTCAATAAAGGGAATGCCATGAGCACAGTATATCTACATTTCAGGAATACATTGATAGAGACTCTCAGGTGTGCTTGTGTAGAAGGTGTATTTAGAAAAAGGTTAACTGCCTGGGCTAATGGAATACTAATTAATGAATTGAATCAACCTGGAGAGAGGTCTCTAGGAGAGTGCCTTAAGGCTCTGTTTGAAATTTTTCTCAATGACATGGATAAAGGTTTACCAAATTTGCAGATGACATGAATATGGGAGGTATTGCTAACATATATGATGGAAGAACTGGGATTCAGGGGTCATGACAAATTGGAAGATTGGGTTGAATTTATCAAGATGCCATTTAATAATTTTGAAAGGAAAATTCTTCTTTTGGGCTTTCACTCTGATTAAAGAGGCAAAACTCAGAACAAAGAAAATTAGAAGGATTTTATTATAAGTATGTCAAGGTGATGAGGTCCAGGGGTGCTGGGACCCTGAGATCACAACAGGCGGGTGCTATCCAAAAGAATTCAACCCAAGTCTTCTTTCAGCCAAAGACAAAGTTTATTAAAGATCTGCCATATTGGCCAGACTCCTAAGAAATCTGAGCACCTGTGAGGTATTGGCTAGATTGTGAAAATATGACCAGTGGCTAGATTCTAAGAATCTGAGCACTTTAATGGAGACAAGATGGACCTTATATAGGGAAAGACTGTGGGAGGGATCTAGGAGTGGCCAAGTAGTTTGGGAGGAAGATCTGAATGGGAGTGGCCAGTAAGCTGAGATGAACAGAACAGACTTGGACCTTGTGGCAAAGGGAGAATGGAGCCCAGCTAGGATTAAGGGTGGGAAATGGCTGGGGGCCATAGGGAGGTAAGACAATGGAGGGCTAGGTTAGGTTAAGGGTAACAGAACTGGGAGATTAGGCATAGCCACAAGGAAAGGCCAGTTGATGGGATTATAGCCTCAGGTGAATGCCAGAGGTTTGGCCACGTGGGAAAGTCCAGGGTTTTTCCTTTTTGGGGTCTACCTCCCATCCTCATCAAAGGTAGCAACACATTGATAGGCTGACCACTGAAGATCAGACTTCAAGGTGGGGACAGTAACTTTAAGATAATCCAGAAAGGGCCACTTCAGCAAAAGAGGTGGGACCCTTGCATCTCAGTTCCTCCACAAGGCAGCAAGAACATGACAGTTTGCAGGTAGTGGTATGTGACAAAAAGCTGCAGACCTGAGGTCTCCTTCCCCACCAGAGCCTTCCCCAACACTGTTTGATAAGCAGCGCTAGGAACAATGGGTAACTAAGTCAACATAACTTTAAATGATAGGAACAAAGTTTGAGTTTTTAAAAATTTGCTGCACAGGATTGAGAGACATAGCTACAAAGTAGTTTATGTGGGAAAAGAGCTAGGCTTTGAGTACGCTACAAGTTCCAATGTGGATTTGAAGTGTGATCTTAGGGTACATTAAGAAGAGCATTATCTTGCATAAGGGAAGTGATATCCCTGCTGTACTCTGACACATCTGGAGGGCTGGGTCCAGTTCTGGGGATCACATTTTAGAAGGGACCTCGGCGGGCAGGAAGGTATCTAAAGGAAGGTGACCATAATGATGAAGAAACTGGGAACTGTGCCATGCAAGGATGAAAGAGAGGAACTAGGGATGGTTAGGCTGGAGAAACTGAGAGGAGAGAGCATTGCAGTCTTTACACACTTGAAGGATTTTCAGAAGAGGGAAAAGACTTTTTGTGCTTGGTCTTTGAAGGCAAAGCTAGAGGCTGCAGAGAGACTGGTTTAGGCTTGATGTAAAGAAAAACTTCCCAATAATTAGAGCAGGGGACAGCAAACTGGGGCCAGAGGGCCAAATCCCACCTGTGGTCTGCTTTTGTATTTAAAAATGTAAAACCATTCTTATCTCTTGAGTATACAAAGGCAGATAGTACCTGCAGTATTTGGGTCTACAGGTGATAGTTTGCCTGACTGTTGAGTTAGAGCTGTCTAAAAATTCATTAGACTACCTTTGGTTGGGATTGTCAGGAGAGGTTTTCAAGTGGAGGCTGGATGTAAGGGATGTCCTGGGGTGGATTTATGATTAGTTTAATGTGGTATTATTAGCAACACAGATCTAGCTCTGGAAGGAACTTTAGAGTAAGAAGCATGTAGTCCAACCTTCTCATTTTAGAGATGAGGAAGCCGAAACACCAGAAGCTTAAATGGCTTGCCCAATGTCACTTAGGGAGTAAGCATTGTAGACAAGATTTGAATCCAGGATATTTGACTTTAAAGTCAGTGCTGGTCATCTATCCTCTAAGGTCCTTTCCAAATTTAAGGTTCTGTGATTCTAGCACATGGTTGTACAGGCTGTACCTCTTTACCTTTTCTCTTCATTAAAAAAATGTTTTTATTGATGTCATCTTCTTACATAACCATAATTTCCCCCAGTATCCCCCTCCCAGAGAATCATCCCATGATTCAAATACAATTTTTACCCTTCTAAATTTCAGCAGTGACCTGTGCCCTGGACCAGCTTCTCTCTTTCTCCCCCTCTTCCCCACCTCCCAGTTCTATCCCAAGGTGAGAGGGAAGTACAGGGTAAATAGCACTGTGTGCCCCTACTCCCTGTTAATAGCATTTGCCTTCTGTGGATATATGAGACTGGCCCTGATTTAATTTATATTGCTTAGGCGGGTTTCTTTTCTGCCAGCCTAGTCTTAGTTCTATGTTTCTCCAGCACCAAGCTTGGAGCTGATGTCAGCAGCCCTTAGAAGCTGTGTAAGAGAAGTTTGGTGCAGGGAGAAAGTTTGACTGACATTTAGGTTATGATATTCAGACACCCAGGCGCTCTGTGGTGAAGGTGAAGGGGCCAACAACGTTAATAAGACTGAAGTCTTTGCTTTAGCCCGACATGAAAATAGGATGGGAATATGAAATATGAAGTCAAGAGGCAAAGCAATAAAGAAAGTTGAAATCTTTAAATATTTGGAAAGACTGCTTTCCAGTAATGGATGATGCAGTAAGGAAATAGATTGGAAAATCACATAAGAGAAATTTTCTTGGGGCAAAGGAAGGGCCAAAAAAGAGCAAATCTGCTTTATATAAAAATCCACTTATTACCTCATCTACCAGAAATGGACTTAGTCTGCTCACACAGAGGTCCTCTGGCTGTTGGTAGCTGCCACTTCAGAAACCACTGACAGCAAAATTGTGAAGTTGCTAAAGTTTGTTTTTGGGTTTCTTGTGTCTTCCTCTCAATCAGGAGTCTAGGACTCATACTGTGTTTATTTCCTTGCTCTACCCTGTTTCAGGGTCCCATCTAGGTCTGCCCTCCCTGCCAATATCTCATGCTTGGGACCTCTGGCTTCTTTTGACCCTGTTCCTCCCTTTCCCCTGGCAACTCCCTTCAGGGTTTAACTGTAAAGGTCTCTTTTTGGCATATCAAGCACTTCCTAACCTAGCTCCTTCTCATGTTGTCCTCTACAATCCTGCAACATGGACCTGTTTACTGTCTTTCACACACCATGATTCTTCATCTCCACCTCTGGGCATTTTTCACTGGCTATTCTCCATGCTTGGAATCTTTTCCCTCTTTCCCTCTGCCTCTTAGCTTCTCTGGCTTCCTTCAAGACTGACCTCAAATCCCACCTTCTGTGGAGGCCTGTCCCAGTTCCCCCCAGTTGCTAGTATCTTTCTCACATTGCCCTTCCTCTCAACTAATCTCTCCTCAGATTACCTTTCATCTCCTCTCTCAAGCTGGAGAAGGAAATGGCAAATGACTCCAGTATCTTTGCCAAGAAAACCCCAAATGGGGTCACAAAGAGTCAGATATAATTGAAAAGAATGAGCGACAACAACTACGTAGATCTTCTATGTACCTGGATACTTACATGTGGTCTCCACTATTAAAATGTGAGCTCCTTGAGGATAGGAACTGCTCCTGTCTTTCTTTGTGTCCTCTGTGCTTGGCACATAGAAAGCACTTGTTTGTTAACTTGATTTGACTTGACTCCCCCACCAGTTTACCCCTCTGTGTTCCATGCCCCATTCCCTCAAGGCTGAGATCTTAGCATCTTTACTGATGGCAAGTCTATCTGACAAATAAATCCTTTGGAATATAGTAAGGAGTACCTGTAAAAACCTGTAAAAAAGGAGTACCTGCATAATAAGGTGTATCTGTGAAGCCAGAGTTCTAGCTCAGCCACTTACTACCATCATGATCTAAGTGAATGAGTCTTTAGTCTAAGTTGATTCAACATTGAATCTGTTCAACATTGGAGTGAATCTTGGGGCAGAACTAACCTGGCTGAGAGTTGGAAGGTAAGGGAGGGCCTAAAACATCTTCACTTTTCCATAACTAGTTAATCCCAGGCTACACTAATTATTGACCCTGTCTTGACTAGGCATGATTGGGCACTTGCCATTTCACATGGCACCAGATGTGTTCCCAAGCAAATTTCCACCCCTGATCAGAGACTGCTAATCAAATCAACCTTTCCTGTAGTGAAGGTTGTAACAGTCTGCTGTTCTGTGGTTTCACTCAGAATCCTTGTGATTTTGAACTGTAAGCTGCATAGGCTAAAGCTCCCTTCTCGGGATACTGGTCCCTACATCTTTGTACTCATTTATGTTAGCTCTAACCCTCACTCCACCCTACTTTTCCTGTATATCTTCTGGACCTTATATTCTATTGTTTTTAAAGATAATTTTTATTGATATCCTTTGCTTTTATGTCCTCTTCATTTCTGAAGACATCCTTTCACCTTTTCCATCCCAGCAATCCATTCTTTGTATCTAAGAATAAAAATGAGAAAAGAGAAGCAATTCAGGAAAACTTACACATCAACAGAGTCTGAAAATATAAGCAACAGGAAACAGTCATACTCTTCCATGTCTACAAAGAAGGAAGGAAGGGAGGCAAATTTTCTCATTTCTTCTCTAGGGTCAAGCCTGATCATCAGTATCACACAAGGCTCATTTTTGTTTTTCGTTCTTACCATTTATATTGCCCTCCTGGTTTTACTTACTCTTCATCTGTTCCTAAAGTTTTCTCATGCTTCCCTGAATTCTTGATATTTGTCATTTCTAGTGACATGGTTATATTCCATTACATCCATGTATTGGAATTTGTTTAGCCATTTCCAGATAGATGGACATCTACTTTGTTTCTATATCTTTGTTAGCATAAAACATACTGTTATGAATATTTGGGCTTTCATAGGTTATTTCTGTTTTTTACCTCCTTGGGATATATGCCCAGTGGTGATATCTCTGGGTCAAAAGACATGGACATTTTAGTCACTTTTTAAAAACATAATTCCAAATTACTTTTCCCAGAATGATTGGATCAATTCACAGCTCTCCCTCCTGTCATTGTGTCTTTGTTCACACAGTGTTCCATATGTGGAGTGGATATCCACATTTTGGGTCTTTTTAAGGGCTTTTGTTTATTCAAGGCTCATTTCAGATGACACCTTCTCCACAAAGCCTTCTTTAATTGGTTCAATCAAGTCTAATTTCCCTCCACAAATTTCCCTGAACACTTTGACTGATCTCTTCTATGCACTTATTTTACACTTCCTCGTATAAGTTATTTGCCTACATGTTCCCATGCAATAGTAAACTCCTCAAAAACAGTCTGTCATACCTACCTTTGTAGGCCCAGAGTGTAGTATCATGCCCTATGTGGAGGAAGAGTTTCATAAATGTTTGTTGAATTGAATTAAATTGTTTAAGCTCCTGCTACTCCTTGCCATTACAAGATTCATCATGCTGTGTCTATAAGGTGGGAGAGATGTGGGCAAAAGTGGCAGGGGGATTTTGACATTTTAGAAGCATTTTTCCTGGTTTAAGAGATTTTTAGAACCCATCAAGCACTGGAAAGTTGAAATCAGTAGATGATACAGTGCCTTCCCTATTGGGTTAGCATCAATTAATTGGGAGGCTTGGTTTTAAATGGCTTTGCCCCTGAGGAGGATGGATGGAAGTTTTTAGAAAATAAAAGATAAATAAACAGCTCTGCCTGAAGGGATTGGCTGGACTGGGCCAACATATTTCCAATTTTGAGCCATGAGCTGCCCATAGTTAGAAGTAATGCCAAGGAGTATATGTAGACATGCCAAGGAGACAGGAGTTAAGAAGATGAGGCAGTATAATATAAGGGAAAGAGTGTTAGGAGTCAGTTTCTCATCTTGATACCGTCACCGCCTGGATGTGGATTCTTTAGTAAGTCATTTAAATGCTCTGAACTTCATTATACATGTGTAGAAAATGGCAATAATAATACCTGTGCTGCCTACTTAACAGGATTGCTCCATTTGAAGAAACAAGTGAGTGCATTTTGAGTGTCTACTACCTACCAGGCACTATATTAGGCTGTTGGTAGGTACAAGGAAGGCAGAGTCCTGCCCTGAAAGAATTCACAAACTAAATCTTGGTTGTGGAGATAAGACTTCTGCAAACACAAAAATATTTTTTTCTAATGCAGGGCAGTATGTAATTTCTTCCATGAAGCTTTTCTTGATCCTTTCTCCCTTATACATGCAGCTGTGATCAGTGGATATAGTTGTGGACTTGGAGGCAGGATGATCTGAGTTCAAATCCTACACTTACTAGCTGTATGACCCTGGGCAAATCACTTAGCATCTTTCAGCCTCTGTCTCCTTATTTATAAAATGAAGATAATAATGGCATCTACCTCCCAGGGTTGTTGTGAGGCTCAAATGACCTAACATCTGAAAAGAGCTTTGCAAACCTTCAAGCATTACAAAAATATCTATAATTATTATTATTTTTTTCCAGAATGGTTGGACCAATTCATAGTTCCACCCAAATTACATTAGTATCTATACTCCTCCTATCCAACTGACAATTGCTATCTTCCTATTTTGTCAACATTGCCAGTATGATGGGTGGGAGTTCCTTCAACACATCCTTGTATAGCATGATCTTGAATCCCTTTGCTACCCTGGTTGCCCTCCTTTGGAGGCAGCATGGCATAGTAGAATGAGAACTGGCTCTAAAGTCAAAGGACTTTCATTTGAATCTTGCTTCTGATGCATGTTACTTGTATGACTTTGGCCAAGTCACTGAACCTGGGCCTCAGTTTCTTCATATATAAAATGGGAGGTTGAACTAGATGTTCTCTGAGGTCCCTTCCAGCTCTGGATCTATACTCTTACCATCCTGTTCCCTTCTTTGTTCTGGGCAATACATTACTCAATGCTATGTAGTACAGCATTAGCTTTTTTTGGCCTGTCATGTCATATTGTTGACTCATATTGAGCTTGCAATCCATTAAAACTCTAAGATAATTTCCCTCTAATCTGTCATTAGCCATGCCTTCCCCATTCTCTGCTTTTGAAGCTTATTATTTAGATCCAAAAGTAAAATTTTGTGCATAGAAAGCACACTTGTTAAAATTGCAGGTAACATAAAGTGGGAAGAAGAGTTAGTGTGTAGAATGATAGAGCTGGAATCCCAAAAGAACTCCACAGTCTAAACAATGGACCAAATCTAATAAGATGAAACTCAATAAACACAAAATAAATAAACACACCAGTTCTGAATCTACTGATCATGCAATTCAATAAATCCAATTCAAGCAACCTTTATGAAGCACCTACTATTTTCAAGATACCATGCTAGGTGCTAGGGACAGAAAGACAGAAGTGAAAATATCCTACCTTCAAGGAGATTAAACATCTCTTACCTTTCCCATAGCAATAGCATGAGTCAAATACTCTGTTAAAAATCTAAAGAAATAACTATGGAGTTTGAATGCAGATAGAAGCATATTATTTGCTATTTTTTTCTTCTGTTGTGTTTTGTTTCCTCTTTCTAGTGGTTCCTCCTATGGGTCTAATTCTTATCTACAACATCACTAATGTGAAAATATGTTTAATAGGAATAAATATTTATAGCCTATATCAGATTGTGCACCATCTTGGGGAGGGAGGTGGAGAAAGAGGGGGAGAAAAATTTAAAACTCAAAAGCTTATGGAAGTAATTGTCAATAATTCAAAATAAATTAATTAAAAATTAAAAAAAGAAAAATCTCGGTTTGTTAATATCTACATTGTTCCTCTTCCTATATTATCCTACTAGTTTAATTACCTTGTCAGAAAAGGAAATGGGGTTAATCTGGAATAACTAACAATTCCTGAATTAATTACTTTTTTGGTCTGGATCTCTAACGAACTTCATTGAGATAGGGAATTCCTGAGTATGAAGGTCTGTCTACCAATGCCGATCAGCAACTTTTCTTCAATTTATATTCTAAGAGAGTTGCTTGGGGATGCTGAGAGGTTAAATCCTTGCCTACTGTCACACAGCAGTATATTGTAGAGGCAGACTGAATCCAGGTCTTTTTGACTCCAAAGCTAACTACTATGTCATGCTGCCTTTTTGGCATGACTTCTCCTTGATGAAGTTGTGATACTTCTTTGTGATCACCTCTTGCTTCTCAAGATGTTCACTAGTTACGCCTTTTGTTGTGTGTTCTAGAATTTTGCCAGGAATCAAAGTTAAGACCCATGGTTTCATATTCTACCTACTTTCAATTTTTGAAAATCAGAACATTTCCTTTTTTCCCCTTTCTGGCTCACCTTTCATGTTCTAAATGCTAAAGATCATTGACAGCAGTTCAGCAATTACATGTCAGTTCTTTTAGAACCCTGGGATGAAATTCATCCAAGCTTGTTGACTTGAACTCACTGGGGACATCTAGGTGTTGTCACACCTTTTCCTCATTGATTGATTTCAATTCTCCTTTAACTATTGTTCTTCCATCCTTTCTAGTTCAAATTTTGTTCTCCTTGGAAGAGAAAAGAAAAATAAGAGTTGACTCACCCTGCTTTCTAACTATTTTCCCTTAGAAGCTCTTCTTTGATCTTCCTCTTGTCTCCAGCAAAACTCAAAAAGCCCATTTTGTTGCCCTTAGTTAGCATCCATTGCCAAGCTCCTTAGTGCTCCTGACATTCTTCTTACAGGTTATGTTATTGTTTCTTATGCATCCCCAGCTACCTGTCCTGGCTCCTATCTTCTATACAAATCTTTTTACAATTGAAATTGGTCAATGAGTTCTCAGTGGAGCCATACTGGTCTCTTTAGACAGCTCTCTCCTTTTTTCCTTCATATAAGAATTATTTCTGTTTTTGTCTTCAGAATTTGATCTTTCAGAGCTTTCTATCCCTCCTAGGCTGATTAGTTCACTGTGGAATTTTAAACTATGGCATCTTTTCTATCCTTTCTCTCAGCTCTTTGAAATTTGCTTTCTTGAAATGTAGGATGTGCATAACATTGTTTCTGGCTTTCTTTTTCTACTCTACCCTGAATTCTGAGTTGGAACAGTCATTTCCCCCCATGCTCCCATCGTTTTTATTTCAGCAATCAGTTCCTTCTTTTTGGTCAGAAAGAGGTCTAGAATAGCAGTTCCCCTTGTCAGTACCTCCACATTTTGAAGGATTATGGCTAAGGCAAGTCAATAAAGGATTAGCTACTCTACTTTTGGCAGGAAGGGAGCTCCAGCAGATGTATGGGTAATTGAAGCCCTCCATACTATATCATGCCTAAATTGTACATTGAGTACCTTTCTTCCTTCTTGGGAGACCTTAGACATGAGCCAAACCTCAAATTGAATTAATTCTCCCTAGGGCTGTGATATGGGGCTGTAAAGCTAATTTGAGAAAAAAAAAAGAGCCTGACCATTCTCTTTAGAGGCCAGGATATCTTAGGGCTTAATCAAGTGTATGAATTTGGGTCTAGATTTAATGCAATTCAATAAGTGTTTATTA